CCCTACGCGTCATTGACGCCCCTACGGTCATTGACGCCCCTTCGCGTCATTGACGCCCCTACGCGTCATTGACGCCCCTACGCGTCATTGACGACCCTACGCGTCATTGACGCCCCTACGCGTCATTGACGCCCCTACGCGTCATTGACGCCCCTAACGCGTCATGGACGCCCCCACGCGTCATTGACGCCCCAACGCGTCATCGACGCCCCAACGCGTCATTGACGCCCCTACGAGTCATTGACGCCCCTACGCGTCATTGACGCCCCTACGCGTCATTGACGCCCCTACGCGTCATTGACGCCCCTACGCGTAATGGACGCCCCTACGCGTCTTTGACGCCCCTACGCGTCATTGACGCTCCTACGCGTCATTGACGCCCCTACGCGTCATGGACGCCCCTACGCATCCTTGACGCCCCTACGCGTCATGGACGCCCCTACGCGTCATCTGACGCCCCTACGCGTCATTGACGCCCCTACGCGTCATTGACGCCCCTACGCTTCATTGACGCCCCTCTACGCGTCATTGACGCCCCTACGCGTTATTGACGCCCCTACGCGTCCATAACGCCCCTACGCGTTATTGACACGCCCCTACGCGTCATGGACGCCCCTACGCGTCATTGACGCCCCTACGCGTCATTGACGCCCCTACGCAGTCATTGACGCCCCTTCGCGTCATTGACGCCCCTACGCGTCATTGACGCCCCTACGAACGCGTCATTGACGCCCCTACGCGTCATTGACGCCCCTACGCGTCATGAACGCCCCTACGCGTCTTTGACGCCCCTACGCGTCATTGACGCCCCTACGCGTCATTGACGCCCGTACGCGTCATTGACGCCCCTACGAGTCATTGACGCCCCATACGTGTCATTGACCGCCCCTACGCGTCATTGACGCCCCTACGCGTCATTGACGCCCCTCCGCGTCATGGACGCCCCTACGCGTCATGGACGCCCCTACGCGTCATGGACGCGCATACGCGTCATTGACGCCCCTACGCGTCATTGACGCCCCTACGCGTCATGGACGCCCCTACGCGTCATTGACGCCCCTACGCGTCATTGACGCCCTACGCGTCATTGACGCCGCTACGCGTCATTGACGCCCCTACGCGTCATTGACGCCCCTACGAGTCATTGACGCCCCTTCGCGTCATTGACGCCCCTACGCGTCATTGACGCCCCTACGCGTCATTGACGACCCTACGCGTCATTGACGCCCCTACGCGTCATGGACGCCCCTACGCGTCATTGACGCCGCTACGCGTCATGGACGCCCCCACGCGTCATTGACGCCCCTACGCGTCATCGACGCCCGTACGCGTCATTGACGCCCCTACGAGTCATTGACGCCCCTTACGCGTCATTGACGCCCCTACGCGTCATTGACGCCCCCTACGCGTTATTGACGCCCCTACGCGTCCATAACGCCCCTACGCGTTATTGACGCCCCTACGCGTCATTGACGTCCCCTACGCGTCATTGACGCCCCTACGCGTCATTGACGCCCCTACGAGTCATTGACGTCCCTTCGCGTCATTGACGCCCCTACGAGTCATTGACGTCCCTTCGCGTCATTGACGCCCCTACGCGTCTTGACGCCGCTACGCGTCATTGACGCCCGTCTGCGCGTCATCGACGCCCGTACGCGTCATGACGCCCCTACGAGTCATTGACTCCCCTACGCGTCATTGACGCCCCTACGCGTCATTGACGCCCCTACGCGTCATATGACGCCCCTCCGCGTCATTGGACGCCCCTACGCGTCATGACGCCCCTACGCGTCATGGACGCCCCTACGCGTCATTTGACGCCCCTACGCGTCATTGACGCCCCTCCGCGTCATTGACGCCCCTACGCGTCATGGACGCCCCTACGCGTCATGGACGCCCCTACGCGTCATTGACGCCCCTACGCGTCATGGACGCCCCTACGCGTCATTGACGCCCCTTTCGCGTCATTGACGCCCCTACGCGTCATTGACGCCCCTTCGCGTCATTGACGCCCCTACGCGTCATTGAACGCGCCTACGCGTCATGGATGCCCCTACGCATCATTGACGCCCCCTACGGGTCATGGACGACCCCTACGCGTCATTGACGCCCCTCTGCGTCATGGACGCCCCCTACGCGTCATTGACGCCCCTACGCGTCATTGACGCCCCTACGCGTCATTGACGCCCCTACGCGTCATGGACGCCCCTCCGCGTCATGGACGCCCCTACGCGTCATTGGACGCCACCTACGCGTCATGGACGCGCCTACGCGTCATTGACGCCCCTACGCGTCATTGACGCCCCTCCGCGTCATTGACGCCCCTACGCGTCATGGACGCCCCCTACGCGTCATGGACGCCCCCTACGCGTCATGGACGCCCCTACGCGTCATGGACGCGCCTACGCGTCATTGACGCCCCTACGCGTCATTGACGCCCCTCCGCGTCATGGACGCCCCTACGCGTCATGGACGCCCCTACGCGTCATTGACGCCCCTACGCGTTATTGACGCCCCTACGCGTCCATAACGCCCCTACGCGTTATTGACGCCCCTACGCGTCCAATGGACGCCCCTACGCGTCATTGACGCCCCTACGCGTCATGGACGCCCCTACGCGTCATGGACGCCCCTCCGCGTCCATGGACGCGCCTACGCGTCCATGGACGCCCCCTACGCGTCATGGACGCGCGCTACGCGTCATTGACGCCCCTACGCGTCATTGACGCTCCTCCGCGTCATGGACGCCCCTGCGCGTCATTGACGCCCCCTACGCGTCATGGACGCCCCTCCGCGTCATGGACGCCCCTACGCGTCATGGACGCCCCTACGCGTCATTGACGCCCTACGCGTCCATGACGCCCCTACGCGTCATTGACGCCGTCCCCTACGCGTCATTGACGCTCCTACGCGTCATTGACGCCCCTTCGCGTCATTGACGCCCCTACGCGCATTGACGCCCTACGCGTCATGGACGCCCCTACGCATCATTGACGCCCTACGGGTCATGACGACCCTACGCGTCATGGACGCCCCTCCCCGTCATGGACGCGCCCCTACGCGTCATTGACGCCCCTACAGCGTCATTGACGCCCCTAAGAGTCATTGATGCCCCTACGCGTCATTGACGCCCCTACGCGTCATGGACGCCCCTACGCGTCATGGACGCCCCTACGCGTCATTGACGCCCCTACGCGTTATTGACGCCCCTACGCGTCATAACGCCCCTACGCGTTTTGACGCCCCTACGCGTCATGGACGCCCCTACGCGTCATTGACGCCCCTACGCGTCATTGACGCCCCTACGCGTCATTGACGCCCCTACGCGTCATTGACGACCGTACGCGTCATTGACGCCCCTACGCGTCATGGACGCCCCTACGCGTCATTGACGCCCCTATTTAAAATTGATGGCTTCGCTATTTGAAAGAATGAAGTCTGATTTTAAAATGTTCGTCACAGATGCATAGAAACTCCAGCGCCTGTACCTCGGTCTAAGACTTTATTTGTGTGACAATATTTGCGTGAGAATCTGATGGTAAAGCTGGGATTGATCCAAACTGTTATCGGGAACATAAACATTGAACGGCAAATTGATCCTTACGGCTGAGAAAAAGAACGAAAACAAGTAGGCAGAAAATAATAAAATAAAATCTATATCGGGAAACGTGCTCACTCATCCTATTCGCCCCTAGTGAGGCATAAGACTGCAAAGAAATATATACACTACTGGGAAATAATTCTTGGGGGGGGTGGGGGGGGTGGGGGGGGGGGGGAATTCCTATAAAAGTGACGCGGGTGATCGTCATACCTTAGGGGTAAAATATACCATCATTTCATATCATCATTTCATTCCTCAAATTCTCAATCATCGACAATCTAATCCTAGCAGTATGCGGGATGTTTGTCACCCTTGAACCTAGTTATAATGGCCTAAGCTCCCACGAGTCCTCCACGGTAGCTCAGTGTAGAGCGTCCGACCGGTGTGCGGAGGTCTAGGTTCGACTCCTGTTGGAGAACTCGGAATTTGTTTGTTTCCGAGTATATGCTTTGTTTCATCACTTGACAGAATAGATACTCTTTCTCAGCTTAGGGCGTTTCTTTTCAATTATCCGAGCCCTCACCTCCGTCTTTTTTATATATGAGGCAGTCCCCTCCCCCCCACGTGGAAATAATACACTATCATTCCTGGAGCATTTATAGCACACAGCACCGATAGTCCAAGCAACAGCTAAGCTGAACGATTCGGTGTTCGCTTGAGCCCAAATGGACCAATGTGCGAGCACCTTGAATACTTTTATACCATTGTTTCAGTGTTACTGGTTTGAATTATTTTCAAGAAATTTCAATAAATGTTCACTGTTGCAGTTTGTGTGTAGTACCCATTCTTTTAACTTCAAGCACATGAAGCAAAGAATAAATATGACAAGCTTCAGCAATTTTAATACACAACACGATAAAATTGATGGCTTCGCTATTTTGAAAGAATGAAGTCTGCTTTTAAAATGTTCGTCACAGATGCATAAGAAACTCCAGCGCCTGTACCTCGGTCTAAGACTTTATTTTGTTGACAATATTTGCGTGAGAATCTGATGGTAAAGCTGGGATTGATCCAAATGTTATCGGAAACATAAACATTGAACCGCAAATTGATCCTTACGGCTGAGGAAAAAAGAACGAAACACAAGAAGCAGAAAAATAATAAAATAAAATATATATCGGACGGAACGTGCTCACATCATCCTATTCGCCCCTAGTGAGGCATAAGACTGCAAAAAAAATATATACACTACTGGGAAATAATTCGGGGGGGGGGGGGGGATTCCATATAATAAAGTGACGCGGGTGATCGTCATACCTTAGGGGTAAAATATACCATCATTTCATATCATCATTTCATTCCTCAAATTCTCAATCATCGACAAATCTAATCCTAGCAGTATGCGGGATGTTTGTCACACTTGAAACCCTAGTTTATATGGCCTAAGCTCCCACGAGTCTCCACGGTAGCTACAGTGGTAGAGCGTCCGACCGGTGTGCGGAAGGTCATAGGTTCGACTCCTGTTGGGAGGAACTCGGAATTGTTTCGAGTAGTTTGTGTCACTGACAGAATAATATCTTTCTCACCTTAGGGGTTCTTTTCAAAATTTCCGACGATCACCCCGTCTTTTTTATATGGGAGTCCCCTCCCCCCCCACGTGGAAATAATACTCCATAAGTGAGGTTCTAGTTTTCTGGTGATTGATTCACTGCCAGTCTCGTTCATTTGATCTCATCGTTCAAACAGTGCTTAAACAGTGTATGATCCAGGGTTCATCTGTATTACCTACAATCTCGTTCATCGTTCAAATGATTTTGCCATATAGAGGTAACTGACAAAACCAAAATCCCAGCTAAGCGAGCAGAAATTGAACGAGTAAAAATATATAGGAATTCTGTGCGTATACATAGAATGATGAGCTCTCATGGAAACATCACATTGACTAAGTTGCAACAAAAATATCAAAAATGACAAGAATCATGGCAAAAAGCAAGGCATTATTTATATATCCAAACTTTACAGAGGAAATCTATAACTATTGTACATATAATTTGGACAAGCACTTATCCAACCAGCTTAAATCAATATTTATAAATCCAAAAAAGATAGTTAGAATCACGACCTTTGAAAAATACAATGAAGAATCTAAGCCACTATTCCTATCGCGTCAATATTCTAATCAGTATATGAGCTAAATATAGCAATCTTATGTACTCGTACTTAATGACAATCTGCCAAGTTATTTTTAATAATTATTTTTTATCTGAAAAATATCAAAATCATTTACTTATATTTTAAAAAAACTACACAAATTTATGTGCAATATCAAATCTATTCTTAAATTATAATTAATTCTAAGACAGCAAACCCGTGTTAGAGTTAGATTGAGAAATTACATCCATCTGCTGTATTTAAATTAGTTTACTGAAAAATGGGGATCTTCTTAGAAAAGCTTGGTAGAGATTGCAAGATCTCCTGCCATTATATGTTATCTAGCAGAAATACTTATATTATGTAATGAAATATAATGGACAGAATTTAAAAAAAAACATGAGCAAATATAATGTTGTTTTGCCAACAGTTCCTTGTTGCCACAAGAGGTGATTAACTATATATGAACCTTCTCGTGAACCATAGAAACACAAAAAAAGACATGATATATTCTCAATAGATGTACATAAAGTATACTGATGTCCTATTCAACTTTTTTTCGTCCAGTAGATAAGCTTAAGGGCTACGCGCGAGTTTTTCCAAACAATATTCCTTTAATGTAATCTTCAACTTGGTCTCCTCCTCGAATTTTTCCGCCATCCAGTTGAAATATTCTTCTTTCGTCAAATCCAGCTGGGATCCAATCGTTCTTGGTTCTTTCCGCGAAAGAAAACGATTATCAGCCTGTCGATAAGTTCCGTGTTGTCTTTAAACGCTTTATGTATCACCTTACCGTCAAAGGTAATGAAATCATCTTCCGTTTCTTGGCGTTTGTGTTGAATAATAAGGGACGAAGCCTGTCGTGACCCGATCAACACTATACAGTCACTGCGGGGAAGTTCATCCTTTAAATCTTGTTCCTCCGCTAAAATGTCGGTGATGCTTCTCAAGTCTGTTACCGCGCGTAGCTTGACTTGAACGATAATCTTTTAGTTGTTCGGCTTTGGCGCTGTCACTTGCAGTGTAAAGAAACAGAGCGCACTTCATCGCGACTTGATTTTGTGCGTGAGGAATCGAATAAACACGTGCTTGAGTTGTATCAATGTCTGCTCTTCGAAAAACTTGAATAATTCAAAGCGATTTCCAGAGGGGGCATTGGAGCCTATTAGAAACCGGAAAAATCGCTCAAAATTTCCGTGAAAAGCGAAAAACCGCAGAAAAAATCGTAGAAAAAAAACCCCGGAGAAAAAAATGTACATGTGCGGAAGTGTAGCCATGGAGACCTTGATCATGTTTATATTAGTTATATTGTTGTTCTATATTTGTTGCAAAATTGTCGTGATTCAAGGAAGATCGTTCGTCGGTGGATTTCCAGTGAATTTCTGTTAGCTTCTGTTAGCTTCTGTTAACTTCTCAGTTAGCTGATCTGTTGCAATGTTGTTTGACAAGTGGACAAGTTCTTACGTAGGATTTATCATACCCTGAGAGAAGTGTGTACTACTACTTCTGGAGCATATTATACAAAGCCCGATGTCCAAGCAACAGCAAACTGAACGAGTCGGTGTTCATTGAGCCAAATGGAACAATGTGGAGACCTTGATAATATTTATACCATTGTTCATTGTTACTGTTTTGAATTATTTTCAAGAAATTTCGATAAATGTCACTGTTGCAGTTCAAGCACATGAAGAGGGTCATGAATGGTCCCTCAAAATTTTCAAGTGCTCGCAAAATTAGGCTTGTGCAAAATTTTAGTGGGTGCTCGTTTGCTCGTGCTCGCATACTTTTACAAGTGCTCGCATGCTCGTTTTTAGTGAAAGGTAGTTTTTTCAAGATGCTCGTTGCTCGCAAGGCTAACTTTTATTAATGCTCGTGCTCGCAAAGAAAAACGCTGTGCTCGCATGCTCGCAAATGCTCGCATTGCTCGCAAATGCTCGCAAAATGCTCGCAAAGACCATTCGATACCCCTATGAAGCAAAGAAGAAATATGACAAGCTTCAGCAATTTTAATACACAACACGCAACTGTTCACAAGTTCGATTTGGTGTCTGACTTTGATTAAGGCGGGACTTAACCTAAAATTCAATGAAATTTTAAGAGGTTTAAAGAAGGGATAGAAGAAATAAAATTATTTTTGGAACACCAACAGACAGTTGATACCCGCGCGGGTGCTCTTGCGTGGTTATCAGCTGTCTGTTGTTGTCAATCTACTAATTTTTAACTTTAACATTCTAATTTTAAAACTACATTAAATCTTCAATATTTCTCATTTCCCTAAATTTTACAACTCCTTTGAGAAAAACTATTTCCTTCCAAACATATCCAAAAATCACCCAAAAATTTACAAAACACCCCATAACATAGATTCATGGGATGAGCATAGAGTTTTAATGGATTGCTTGAAATGTGAACGAGATATTTCCATTTAACCCATGTTAAGTCGCGGAAAAATGGCATTCATGTGTACCCCCGCCTTAACCAATCACGGCAAAGATGCAAAGCCAAAACCAATCGTCATTGACGCCCCTACGCGTCATTGACGCCCCTACGCGTCATGGACGCCCCCTCAATCCACTTAAGGCATGGTTTGCCTGTTAATATGACATATTTTTATTTCAAAGGGAAGTTGTTGTTCAATCTTTCCGAAATTTGTAGCCCTTACGCGTCATTGGCGTTGCAAGAAAAAGCGAGTACTTTACTTCTTATTAATCAGGTTTTATGGCTTTGAAACGGTTTAATTGTATCCTATAATCAAAGTATACACTGTTTCGAGGCATATGCTGTTTTCTTTGACATTTATCAGAGCAAACTTGGTCAGTTTTTATTGCATCGGCTGCAGGCATCGTGGAGCACGATTTCATTCATGGCCGACTAGAAGCTACAAGAACATGTGAGTACAACTGAACACGAACTTTTATTTATTTCCCCGCTTGTCCCTACTGGCGTCATTGACGTCATTGGATTGAATCCAGCGACCCAGAGTATACTGCGAGTTATACTGTGAGTTATACTGCGAGTTATACTTTCATTGTCTCGTTCATTTGATCGATCTCCTGTTCAAATAATTACAACTAATATTAAACAGTGTATATCCAGGGTTCATCTGTATTACCTACAATCTCGTTCATCGTTCAAATATTTTGCCATATAGAGGTATATAGTGACAAAACTAAAATCCCAACTAGCGAGCATAAATTGAACGAGTAAAATATACAAAATTTGTGTGCGTATACATAGATGATGAGCTCTCATGGAAACATCACATTCAAGTCAGGAATCATGGCTAAAGCAAGGCATTATTTAAATATCCAAACTTTACAGACAATCTATAACTATTGTAATATAATTTGGACAAGCACTGCAAGCAGGCTTAAATCAATATTTATGATCCAAAAAAAGATAGTTAGAATCACGACCTTTGAAAAATACAATGAAGAATCCAAGCCACTATTCCTATGGCGTAATATTCTTAATATATATGAGCTAAATATAGCAATCTTTATGTACTCGTACTTTAATGACAATCTGCCAAGTTATTTTAATAATTATTTTTTTATCTGAAAATATCAAAATCATATAATTATATTTTAAAAAATCAACACAAATTTATGTGCAAAATCAAATCTATTCTTAAATTATAATTAATTCTAAGACAACAAACCCGTGTTAGAGTTAGATTAAGAAATTACATCCATCTGCTGTATTTAAATTAGTTTACTGAAAAATGGGGATCTTTTTAGAAAAGCTCGGTAGAGCTTGCTAAGATCTCCTGCCATTATTTGTTATCTAGCAGAAATGCTATTTATGTAAATGAAATATAATGGACAAATTTAAAAAAAACATGAGCAAATATAATGTTGTTTTGCCAACAGTTCCTTGTTGCCACAAGAGGTGATTAACTATATATGACCTTCTCGTGACCATAGAACACAAAAAAAAGACATGATATATTCTCAATAGATGTACCTACAGTATACTGATGTCCTATTCAACTTTTTTTCATCCCGTAGATTAGCTTAAGGGCTACGCGCGAATTCTTCTCGCAAATTCACAAACCTCAACCCCCTAACCCTTGATACAACAGCAAAATAGAGCTATTATATATGGCGCACACTTTATAATTAGTAAATTAAATAAAGGCGTTTAGTTTTCCTTTTTCTGAGGGACGAAGACATTTTAATCGAAATCATTGTCCGTTTTCACACTAGAGACTCGTCCGAGACGAATAACCCGTATCAGACGGAAAAAAAAAAAGAAAGAAACTCCGGCGCCTGTACCTCGGCCTAAGAAGTCATGTTGGCTTTATATCAGTTGTACGCTTCCTAATTTTGGTCGGATTCCTGTGATCACGTGGATACCCTGTGAACGCAAGCGAAAGGCCT